TGTGGGCGCTATAGTCAGCGCTGTAGGGGCTGTAGTCGGCTCTGTAGGGGTTGTAGGCGGCGCTGTCGGCGGCACTGTAGGCGCTGTCGGACTCGTGCCTACGCTTTGCTCTGTTTGGCGTTTTTTGAATGCAATTTAAAATTTTAAAACATGTTTTTCGCTGAAAAATATTCATTACTAAGTTTATAGCGCATAGAAAGAGGTCTCGTATAATGAAAAAGAGGTCTTTTGTTAAGTGTTTATTTTTTACAAATATAGCGAAAAGTACTTAATTTATTTAAATAAATAAGTAAAAACTGAAAAATTACAAATGATATAAAGAAATACTGCATAATAATGAGGATAATTGATAGGATATGATATATGTTTGAGCGCACAGTACCTGTTGATGGCTCGACGGCTGGAGGAGAATCATCTATGTTATTGGGGGTAAACATTTGTATTATTTATATGTATGTTATATGAAAGGTGCGGTGGTTTTTAAAAATGATAATAGAAAACATGATATAACTTAATACACTCTTACCCTCTCTATTCTTCTCAATGATATAAGCGGTAAAGAAGCCAATAGTGAGGGCCAGTAATATAACAATCGTTATTATATAACATATTGTGCTCTTCTTCGCAGACTTTAATTTTTCTAATTTTCCCATTTTATGTGATTTTTGGCCAAATAATCGCTTATATCGCTCTCACATAACACTAAATTGGATTAGATTTATAAGTATTTATTTATACAATATTTATTTGTTGCTAAGTTCTAAGTTTAAAGTTATAAAAAGTTATTTTATAGATATATTTGTTGACAATTATTAATTATATTAATCGACATTTGACTGATTGTAGCGATGGTCTATTTTTAACACATATTCATATATGAAATTAATCGCTAATTTAATTATAAGCAATATTTATGCTTAAAAAAGACTTCACACGTACTGTTTATTTACATTAAGGATTAGAAAAATTACTTTTTAATTCATAAATTAAGGATTTGCTGAACAAATAAGATAAATATTATGCATAATAATCAAAACAGACGTAAATTTTAAAAATGTTATTTCAATACTCACTTCAGATGAAGAAGAGAGAGAAAGGAGTGCTGAGTGTTAGAGAGAGATGAAGAAAATAGAGAGGAGTTCTGGTTGTGTGCGAAACGGATGATGACTATAGCCTTACGCAGAGATGTGATGAGAGATCAGTTGTTTTTGTATCAATGGATGCGAAAAGAGAGTGAAAGCGAAAAGTCAAGAGAAATATCACTTCTCATCTACTCTTACTCTTTTCGTTGACGAAACACAACAACACATTAATAATACAAATGTGAAGTGAAATGAAGCACAGGTTTCACTCAATTCTCGCTTCAATTTTATTTCTCTTTCTCACAAACGGCTAGTATTTAATGCATTAAAAAACTTAAAATACAAGACTTAAGTGACTGAAGAGAGTGATACCAAAAGAGACAAATTTAAAAGTCATCGCAAAACTTTTGATGAAACAAATAAAAATATGCGACAATTTTTTGTTTTGTCATAATTAACTTTTTTCCAATAGCCGTCACTTTAATAGAGCACTTGATTTTTATTATTCTATATATTATTATTATTATAATTTTTATTGAAAGCAATTATGATTTTTAATATTTATGAAACTTTTAGTAAATGTTGTGTATATTTAAGTCACAGATATTGCGATAAAATATATGCCGTGTTTAGTGTTGAGTACATCAAAATTGAGGGCAATATTGTGTGTTATATCAGAGAATATGAATCCAAGTTTTACTGTCTTTTCTTCAAACCGTTTTGTGATATTCTGTTCGCCTCTTCTCTTCTCTCTATATCTCGTCTTTTGACTCCCATTTCATTGTTTTATTATTAAAATATTTTTATATATTTATTACTTAACTGCACTCTAATATATGGATTCATACATAGGTTCGCATACAACCCATGCATACAAAAGTACACAAAAATGTTAACTTATTTAATATAGAAATATATTATTTTCATTAAAGTTGAGCGCAAGAAGTTTGAGATAAAACAAACCACTATTAAAAGGAGATTGAATGGTATGTGCGATATATGTGTACAATAGGTGGAGAGAGAGAGAGAGAGAGAGAGAGAGAGAGAGAGAGACCAGTAATTAAATTATATATTTGTTTTGCTTTTTATTTCCTGCATTTCTCTGCATTTTGCATGTATTTAAATATTCTATTAATTATAATTAACAAAATTCAAAGTCAAAGATATTTTTTGAAGTTTTTTATTATTAATTAGAATTCATAGCATAAAAGCAAAAGTTAATTAGTTTTTGATATTAATGAATAAATATAAATTAAAATTAGTTTTAAATAATTATGAATATAAACATTTATTTTAAAATATTTCACTATAGGTTATGAAGTAATTTTAATAACAGAATAAGTAATTTTATAACGAAATCAGATAAGAAATAAAATACAATAAATGTTTAGCGCATTAATTATATTACATATGATATAAATTATACGATTGTTTTTGCGGTTAACAGAAGCTATTTATGCAAACAGAAGCCGATAAATGAAATATTAATGTAATTATAAAATCACTTCGAGATTACAATTTAATTGTCTCATAAAACATACCGAATAATAAATATATGGCATTCATATCTTATAATAATGTTTTTTCTATATATTTAGCGATTTATCATTTCGTGACTCTTTTATATTGATATGAATTCTTTGTGTGAATTCAAGAATTTCACGACTTTATAGAAGCGACAAAAGTGTTTAACAAAATGAAATTACTTTTATTTTATTATATTTTCTTCATTTATTTAAATTACATTAAATTATTTAAACACAACATAGAAATCAAATAATAAACATAATTTAAGCGCACGTTTTTACAAAGTGTTTCATGAATTTTCTTANCTCGTTGTATTACTTTTTTGTTGTTTAAGTGAATCCCTTATTATAGCAAAAGAGACAAACAATTTCTTTATTATTTTTTTGGTTATGTATTTAAAATGTAATGTATTATTAATTTCATGGCTGCGAGCGTTCAAACACCACTTTCAAGTCTTTTATAGTTTAATTTAATTTAAATCTCTTTTCGTAGAAATTGTTTTCATTTTTTAAATTAAGTCATTGTTTTCTGTGGTTTTTTAATTTGGAAAATATTATGGTTGAAAATAAACCTCTTTATACCTATAATTAAAAAATCATAAACACATTGAAATTTCGTTGACTCCTCTTTGAAAGACACTTCAAAACGAAAGGAAAATGTTTTGTCAGAATAGGCTTTAGGTTTTCAATGACAGTGATATTTCTTTACACATAATTAGTTCCCATCCTTTCACTCAAAAATAGTTATCTAAAGATCACGAACTGATTACTTCTTCAACACATATACGAAAACAATTTTTATTATTAAATATTGTTTATGAATACTGTTCTGAATTCTTGTATATCTTATCAAATGTTATATTAAACCAATAATTGTTTAATTATTTTATAATTTTGGGACTAAACCAAATTTATAAGTACTTTTGTGATACTTTTTATTGAAGTTATATTTTATGAAAATTTACTTTTAAATGGAGTTATTTTTAATTGTTTTAATGATTACAAAAAAATCATAAAATCATATGATAGAATGACTTTAAACTGATATACAAATTGTTCCTAAAAAGTATACCAATTTAATCACACAATTATTTTTAAATTAAATGTTTTAAAAGTATAAAAATTAAATATTAATGTTACCATTAAAATACCGATTGTGAAGGTCGACAGTAATAGACAATAATTATAGTATTCATGTTTTATGACAATTTTAAATTATAATTATTAACAATATTATATGAAAACAATGGCATTTGAAACATTTATAAAGAGTTATAAGGTGTATTCATTAAAGTATTTTCCAGGTAAGTTTTATAAAAAATGTCACTATGATCAAAAACATCAATTCTTAGACCTTAATAGGTTTTGCAATATTAAATAATATGTATTAAATAAACAGTATTTTTATATGGTAATATTTCTATTAAATGCAATCCACCAATTCATGAATAAAGTTGAAATATAACAAGCACAATTTATTGTTAGAATAAACAGCCTAAATGCTAACTAGAATTTCAGATGTAAACAATTATAATGAGTAAATTAAGTAATTTGATTGTATATACAAATAACAAATGAATACTTGATTGCATAATCTGTATGAGAGAGTAGAGCACAGGTCTATGTGTTTGGACATCAAATTAAACAAATCAAATAATAGCTATAATCTTCGCAATTTGTGTAATGCCTTAATATTTGACAAGGAAATATATTTTAGCATATTCATCATTATGTTAATTAAATATGTTAATTTGTTTAAGATTAATTGACCAAGGACATTTGAGGGAGTGCTGTAATGATAAAATATAACGACTAAAACGTTATTTATAAATAAATTTGCTTTAAATTGGCTTAATTGTTTTTATAAGTTGACCATAATTATAATATACAATAGATATTAGACAGTAATGTGTAAATTATAATTGTTATAAACTAAATCACAGTTTGCCTCTATTTGTAGGTTACAATTAATTCCAGTTAATGTTTGCATATCATTGATATCAACGTGTAATCTATAAAATTGTTTATAAGTCACTGACTTATCGCTAAATTAAACGTCAAAAAATATAATCTCAATATTTAATTACCGGTATATTTATCATGAATTAGTTTTCAAATCAAATGATCTAGTTCAAATTAGACCCTAACATTGAAGGGTTGTCGTCAGTGACGACACCTTGTCAAAATTTAATAACAAAGTCCTTTTTAATACTATAAACTTAATGTAAAATTAATACAAGTATTTACTGTAAAATAGTACCAAATATTCGTAACCATGCAATACGTTACTACTGTACCCATAATTACCATGTTATTGTGACATTTAATTTGATAAAATAAAAAACGCGTTAACTGTAGCACTGTTTAGGGCAACAGTTAGCCCATTTAAGGCAATGTATTGATGTGTGACTCATAACGTGTATAAACGAGTTGTTTATGCATTGATTTCAAGCCATTCGTGAAAATAATTGAGTGATCATTAAATTCGGACAACACTTCATAAACGATGGGTCTCTTCGGCAAAGACCAGTCAAAGTCACCCAAAGAACAGGTGAGTGGCGCCAGCAATGGCTACCAATTGACACACAATTAGCCACTCATTATCTGACAATTAAACTAAACGTGATATTTATCTCCCGCTATGGTTGTTGTGGTCGGTGTGATGGTTGGTGTGGATCAGGTGCGTGAGTGGACATCACGTCTTCGTAAGCAGCAGTTCCTATTGGACCGTCAGATACGCGGCATTCAGAGAGAGGAGGAGAAGGTTAAGCTCGAGCTGAAGAAAGCGGC